ACACCGAAGCCTCCGTGAGTGAACGAAAATGAGTCACAAACCTTGTGACCGTGAGTTGTCTGCAAAAACAACTTTTGTGAACGATTTTCCTCGTTCAAAATAAGCAAAATTGACTCCTATGCTGTCAGAAGTGGGATTCGAACCCACGCCTCCAGGGGAGACTGCGACCTGAACGCAGCGCCTTAGACCGCTCGGCCATCCTGACACGTGTCAGAAGCTGCTGTTCCTTGACTTTCAGTTGTAGGCCAATGCAGGGCGCTGCGATTCCCGCTTGCTTGCAGTTACCTCATTCCACCACAGGCCCAGCACAGTGGCGTTGGTGGTATAGTGGTTAGCATAGCTGCCTTCCAAGCAGTTGACCCGGGTTCGATTCCCGGCCAACGCATCTGTCAAAACGTTTTTCTATAAACCGCTTTCAATTTTTAGTGCAGGAGCATCTACTAGATTTTATTTTAGGGGGATCCTCTCCCTGCATCCCAGGCTGAGTCAGCTGCGCCCTGGCGAGCTCTTCCGTGCTCGTGACATTTGCACAATTGTTGCAATGATTGACGTTTGCACAATTGTTGCAATGATTGACATTTGCACCCTGTTGAAATGATTGAGATTTGCATCTTGCTGCTCTGATCGACGCCCCACGAACTCCTCGGTGGGTTGCAACGTCCCGGTTTCAGGTGTTGGAGAGCTTTGGGGCTGGATCAACCCGGGGAAGCGGATCCCCGGCGCCTGGGGTGGAGTTTTTAGGGTGGAAAGAGGAGAAAGTGGAGCTGAAATAATCTGGAAGTGGAACGAGGTTTGAGGTGAGGGCTGGACGCCCCGGAATGCATGCTACTGAGATGTCGCTGGGGAGGGGTCTTTTGAGGTCTAATTTAAATATTTAATTAGTTTTTCTTTTGTTTTGAATCTACTTTGTGCTCTTTGAATCTGTGTACAATCCTCTCTCCAGAGACTGGGCGCGTTTTGAACTTTTATAGCACCCAGGAGTGTCTTCTAGCCCCTCTTTTTTTTTTTTTCCCACTTTTCTGGTATTCCTAGAATCCAGAGCTCACTTCTCTTAGCTAGCTTCTATCCTCTTCCATTCTAATATTTTTTGAATTTTCATTTATTTTTTTTAATTTAAATTTAAGAAAATTAAAATTTTCTTTTCATAAACTTGTTCACAATAATTTTAATTTATTGCATTTTAATTTAGTTAACTTTAACTTTTATTTAATTTATTGCCTTTCAATTTAATTAATTTTAACTTTTATTTAATTTATTGCATTTTAATTTCATTAATCTTAACTTTTATTTAATTTATTGCATTTTAATTTAGTTAATTTTAACTTTTGTTTAATTTATTGCATTTTAATTTAGTTAATCTTAAAAAGGTAAAGGTAAAGGCCCTCCCGTTGTTCATCGATTTGCTCAAGCGGGCCCAGTAACGTCTCCATTGGAGATTTTGTTGTTACTGTGTTTGGCATATCGAATCTTAACTTTTATTTAATTTATTGCATTTTAATTTAATTAATTTTAACTTTTATTGAATTTGTTGCCTTTTAATTTAGTTAACTTTAACTTTTATTTTTTAATTTATTGCCTTTTAATTTAATTAATCTTAACTTTTATTGAATTTATTGCCTTTTAATTTAATTAATTTTAACTTTAATTTACTGAATTCTAATTAATTTAATTTCCCCTTCAACATTTCAACAGCATCCCACCCCCATGACACCTTGCCGCCACCATCATTTCCAAGTTTCCCAGCACCACCCAAGCCTGGCCCCAGGCAGATGCTAGATCATTTATTCTGTGTTGCTGGTTATGAAGAGTCACATACTAATTTTTTTATATAGATTTTTTTTTTTTATTTTTGGAGGCGTCTTTAACCCAAACAAATACCGTCTTTTGTCCTAGGGACTCTGGGGGGACTCCGCAGGGTGGGTTGGGGGTTCCCCAAATGCTCAAATTAATCCAAAGGGGGCCCGGTGTGGCCGGTACTTTTAAACAGCCGAGGCGCAAACGCCCTCGCGCCGTCCTCGTTAGTATAGTGGTGAGTATCCCCGCCTGTCACGCGGGAGACCGGGGTTCGATTCCCCGACGGGGAGGCTGGACCGTTTCTTTTGACACTTGGGCGTTTCTTTGGAGGCTAAAGCGTTTCCTTTGACACTTGGGCGTTTCTTTGGAGGCTAAAACGTTTCTTCTGACACTAAGACGTTTCTTTGGAGGCTAAAACGTTTCTTCTGACACTAAGGCGTTTCTTTGGAGGCTAAAGTGTTACTTTTGACACTAAGGCGTTTCTTTGGAGGCTAAAGCGTTTCTTTGGAGGCTAAAGCGTTTCTTTTGACACTAAGGCGTTTCTTTGGAGGCCAGAACGTTTCTTTTGACATTAAGGCGTTTCTTTGGAGGCTAAAACGTTTCTTTTGCTCCAAGTGTCTCTGCTCTCCTCGCTGCGCCCTTCTGGGGGGCGCGGGGCTTGCTTTTCTGCAGCGCCCCCCGAATGCCGCCCCCCAGGCCCTCCAGCCCCGGAGCTGGAGACCTGCCGCCTCCCCCCGCGCCTGAAGCAAGCGACCCCCGACTCACTTTCTGCACGCGCCCAGGTGGGCCCCCCTAACTCTCCAAGGGGCAGATTCCAAACTTCCCGCTGCGCGTCCTGGAGACCCCCGGCCGGGAAGGGCTTTGGCACCGCGACCTGGATTTGGGGATAGTTTGGAGCCAAACGTTTTCGGTTGGTTTTTAGGAGGAGGGTCCTTGCCCGGGGACCGGTCCAGGCTCACCTGTGGCATCCCCGGCCGTTGGCATGGAAACGGCCGGGGCATCTTCTCGGCTCCGTTTCCCTGAGCATCAGTTTCCAGGGGGCCCGGGCTGGCCTGGCTCCTGCTCTGGGCCTGGCCAGGAGGGCCCGGACGAGGGTTTGCACTGTGACCTTTGGGGGCGACTCAGTGGCAAAGGGCCCCCCAGGTGGCCAGCACCCCTAAAGACGCGCCGGCCAATCTGGGTGGGCGCCGGGACGGGGGCGCGCGCGCGCGCAGCCAAACGCTTCTGTGACTTTTCAAATAGGAAACTGTTGGGCACATTTGTCATGCTTGGTTGTTTTTATTATTATTATTGCTGTTGTTGTTGTTGTTGGTTACGGGTAGTTTATTATCTGTTGTTGCTGTTGTCGTTGCGGTGGGTGGTCCCCAGCAGGACCCCCCCAGATGCGCTCTAGGTGTTTGGGCCGCTGGGTGCAGAGAAGGGTCCAAGGGGCACTTGGGGTCCCCCCAACCCGCGCGGCCCCGGGCCCTGGGGAGTCCTGGCGCCCCCGACCCAACGCCCCCCCCACCCCGGACCCCGGGGTCCTGCAGGCGCTGGCGGGCTCGGGGGACGCCGCGGCCTCCCCGGGGTCGCACGGGGGTCGCCGGGTTTCGCCCTCCGGTGAACAGGCCCGGGCGCGACGCTGCCCCCGCCGGTCTCTGTGGCGCAATCGGTTAGCGCGTTCGGCTGTTAACCGAAAGGTTGGTGGTTCGAGCCCACCCAGGGACGGGGCGACACTTTTGGAGCCGGCCCTGGATTGCGAAGCCAGTGGTAACGGGGTTGTGTGTTTGTGTGTCTGCGTGCGCGCGCGTGCACCTTTCTTTTGTGACTATGTTGCTGTGTCTTTGTGCGTGTGTACCTGTTGTTTTATGGTTGTGTGGCTGTGTGGTTATGTGACTGCATTGCTCTATGTCTGTGTCTGTGTGGTTGTGTGTCTGTGTGGTTGGGTGTCTGTGTGGTTATGTGGCTGTATTGCTCTGTGTCTGTGTGGTTGTGTGTCTGTGTGGTTGTGTGACTGTGTAGAGCTGTGTGGTTGTGTGGCTGTGTGGCTGTGTGTGGCTGTATGGTCGTGTAGCTGTGTGGTTGTGCAGCTGTTTGGTTGTGTGTCTGTGTGCCTGTATGTCTGTGTGGTTGTGTACCTGTGTGGCTGTATATTTGTGTGTCTATGGTTGTGTGGCTGTGTAGTTGTGTACCTCTGTGGTTATCTGGCTGTGCAGTTGTGTGGTTGTGTGGCTGTGTTTGTATAGCTGTGTGTCTGCGTGGCTGTATGGCTCTGTGTTTGTGTAGCCGTGTGATTGTGTGGCTATGTGGCTGTGTGTTTGTGTAGCCGTGTGATTGTGTGGCTATGTGGCTGTGTGCTTGTGTAGCCGTGTGATTGTGTGGCTATGTGGCTGTGTGTTTGTGTAGCTGTGTGTCTGTGTGGTTGTGTGACTGTATGACTCTGCTTGGCTGTGTGCCGTGTGGCTGTGTGGTTGCCTGCGTGTTTGTACCTCTCTTTCAGCTGTTTGAATCAGGTCACGCTAAAGGGAACCAGGACCAGACCCAACCCCCTCAACGAATAAACAAAACACAGAGTTTTAGCACCCTGTTCTCACCTGGCCTTAGCAGGAGTGTCCTTCACTCAGGTCCAGCGTGTGGCCCTTCCCGCCAGCCCCTGGGTCACTGCACTGACCACTGACCCGCCCTGTCCGGCTCTGGCCCTCCCAGAGTCTGCAGAAGTGACCTCTTGGGAACGCAAACCAGGACTGCCTTTGCAAGCCCTGGAGGCTGCAGGTGCCCCCCACCAAGCCCCCGAAGGTCAAATTCCCGACAGCCCCGACTCCCAGCTCCCCCCAACCCTCTTTGATGCCCTTTTCATTCCCAGGAAATGAGCCTGGGCTCCTCAAGCAGAATGGAGCCTCCTCCAGGCAGTGACCCTGGATTGGTTCCAGCCTGGCACCGGAGCTAATGGGTGTCCACCGGTGTCCACCCAGAGCACTTGATCTCGTGTCTGAACTTCCACGAGTCCCTGGCTGCAGCCGCGTAACTCAGGGGAAGACTGTGGCCCACCCCCCATCCTCCCTCTCCCCAGCCGACCCTCCTCTTCCTCTCCACTGTCTCCGTCCAAGTGTCCAAGCGGGGGTCGGGGCCAGCTGACTTTTCCTTCCGCCCAGCGAACCCCTGCGGGTCTGAGTAACTGCAGCTAAGTGAACATCATGGTTTATGTTTTATTGCGGACTTGGGAGAAACAGGGTGGAAAGGGCTTTGTCGGAAGCCGGAACTGGTCCGCGGGGAAAAGAAGCTTCTGGAACAGGGAGACCATTCTAGAAAGGCTTCTGCACCCTGCTGACTTGTACTCCGTGCTTTGCAGGGGCATTGGGGGGGTGTCTTCCGTGGTGGAATCCACCCCAGCGAGGCACTTGTGTGAGGGTCCGAGAAGTTGTCCCCACGCCCCCCACCCCACACACACACACACACACAAAGGCTGCTCTTCCAGCTGCTGCCTGGGCTGGGGGGAGGGCTGGGGTGGGGGTCTCATTTGTCCTGAGGGTCCCGACGCCACTGCATCCTCTCATTCCATCGGACGGACGCCAGTGAGTGTCGAAGGTCCAGCCACACCGACAAGCAGAGCCCGGTGCTCACGACGTACCAAAGTCCCACGGCCAGGCTGAGAGCGATCCGGTACCATGGGGAGTGAGGGAGGGGTGATGGGGAAGGGATGGAGGGGGAGGGGACGAAGGGGGAGGGGACGGAGGGGGAGGGGACGGAGAGGGAGGGGATGGAGGGGGAGGGAATGAAGGGGAAGGGTCTGGAGGGATCTGATAGGGAGCAGAAGGAGAGAGAGCAGGGAAGTTAAGGCAGAAAGGAGAAAGTCCCGTGTGGCCAGTGAGAGACTCACCCCAGGATCCCGGGAAGGGGGGACCCTCTGCACTCAGTTATATTCCCAAATGTCCTGACCCCCACACAGTGACAGCGTCCTGACCCCCAGTTCGCCCTGCCCAGGGTGTCTGCAGGGCGGACCCCGGAGCTTCGAGCCCTCGGCTTCAGTGGGTGAGAACCCGCCCGCCGGCACCTTCATTTCCTGCCCTGAAGTTCACACTCGCGGTTTTCACACGCAGGCAGGGAACCAGATCGAAGCCCATCTTGGGCGTGGGCTTCTCACGGGCAGACAAGGGACACCCCTTCTCCCTCAGGCCCGGAAACCCAGAGCACCAAGTGCCCAAAGAGGCAGAACAAGCTGGTTGTGCACTGCCAGTGCCAACCCGTGGGACTTCAAGCCGCTGTCTGGCTAGACCCGGGGGCAACAGCTGGATTCTGGGCTCTGAGGTGCTTTCAAGCTCTGCTTCTTGGTTGAAGTTCCAACTTCCTTTCTGGCTTGCAGGCAACACCCGGCAGTGCTCGAAGCTGACTCCTGACTCTGCATCAGGGATCACTCCCGCGGGGCGCGGGGGACCGTGGAGGATGTTTTCCTTGCATGCGGCTGACCCGGGTTCGATTCCCAGCATCCCCTCTGGTCCCCTGAGCACCGCCAGGAGTAACTCCTGAGTGCAGAGCCAGGAGTAACCCCTGAGCATTGCCGGGTGTGACCCAAGCAAAAAAAAAAATGCCCTAATATGGAAAGTATCACGCTAAGCGAAATGAGTCAGAAAGAGGGGGATAGACATAGAAAGATTGCATTCATCTGGGGGATATAAAGTAACAAAGTATGAGATTAATACCCAAGAATAGCTGAGATCAGCACCAGGAGGATTACTCCATAACTTAGAGGCCAGCCGGGTATCCTAGAGGAAAGGGCAGCCCAGATAGAGAAGGGAGCACCAAATAAAGGGTGTTTGGAGGATCCTCCCAGGAGGGGAGATGCATGTCGAAAGTAGACTATGGACTGAACATGTTTGCCACTCAATGCCTCTTTTGCAGACCACAACACCCAAAAGGAGAGAGAGAACACAGGGGATTGCCCTGCCACAGAGGCAGGGGGGATGGGGGGATGGGGGTGGGGGGGATATTATCCATGGTGGTGGAAAATGGGCACTGGTGGAGGGATGGGTATCTGATCATTGTATAATCGAAACCCAAGCACAAAAAAATTGTAAATCTACAACTGTAAAAAAAAATAAAAATAAAAATAAAAAATAAAAAAAAAATGCCCTAACCACTATACTACAGCTCAGGCCCCCTTGTAGGATGACCAAGGAGCTTAGGGTTTTCAGGTTACACCCATCACAGTGCTCCTGAGGCACTTCCATTTCATTGTGTTTATCTGTAAACTCTTCCCTGTGCTCTCCTCCCCAACCAGTTAATCAGCTTTTCCCCTAATCAGAATCTGTTCATTTGTAAGGTCAGATCCTTCTAGGACACTGAAATTGTGTTGTAAGTTAATATTGCCTTTCTCCTCTCCTTATGTCTTTTGAACAGTTTACTTTAAAGCAATGTCCTTTTTGTATGGCTACAGGAAGACCGTTAACATTATGCTCTGTAACTTAGGATTTGATTGGCCTTGAATATTATCCACTCCCGGGCATCTGCTTTCTGGACTTAAGCCTCAGTTGCCCTTAGTTCCTAACACCCCAAAAGCAGGGTCCCGACGAGGGACTGAATGGACCCAGGGCGAGCGGTGAGCTACCATGGCAGTGAAATGGGCCAGGCCAAAGTGCCACGATGCTTAACTATAAGTTAAGAGTTTGATCATAGACAAATGCTGTCATGATCCAAAGGTAACGACGAGACTAGGATCCTGCTAGGGGTGGGAAGGACTATCTGGCCTGAGCACTGTAGTCTGAGATCAAGAGGAGAACAATTCTATACGTTTAAGGTATTTTTTACTGTGTCCATACAAAATGATTTCTGTCCTGCGCCTGGACCCCTGTGCCCTGCGCCTGGACCCCTGTGCCCTGCGCCTGGACCCCTGTGCCCTGCGCCTGGACCCCTGTGCCCTGCGCATGGACCCCTGTGTCCTGTGCATGTTTCCCCCCCCACGCATGCCCCCCGTATTCTGTGCGTGTGTCCCCTGTGTGCGCACGGACACGTTCTTGCGTGCCCAACCCCCCCATGCACGTGCCCATGCCGCGTTCCGTGCGCGCGCCCCTGTGGGCGCAGGGACGGGCCTCACCTGCCACGAGGAGACGCGCCGTGGGCGAGGACTCGTTGCGCATCCGGCCCAAGAGGCCCCGGCAGAAGTAGGTGCCGCTGTCCGCCAGCGTCGCCGCGGGGATGTGCAGTTCCGAGTTCTTGTAGAAGAACTTCCGCCCCATGCCGTTGTGGAAGTAGATGACGCTGGACACCGGCCGGTTCTGCCAGCTGTGGCAGCGCAGGTGGATGGGGTCCCCGGGCTGGACCACCCAGCGCCGCGCCTGCAGCAGCAGCCAGCCTGGGAGCGAGGAAGGAGCAGCGCTCACCCGCCGGCCCGGACACCCCAGCTTTGTTGGGCTCGGGGGCCGCGCTCGGCAGTGCTCAGGGCTGACTCCCGGCTCAGTGCTCAGGGATGACTCCCGGCTCAGTGCTCAGGGCTGACTCCCGGCTCAGTGCTCAGGGATGACTCCCGGCTCAGTGCTCAGGGCTGACTCCCGGCTCTGTGCAAAGGGATCACTCCCGGCTCTGTGCTCAGGGATCACTCTGGCTCGGTGCTCAAGGCTGACTCCCAGCTCTGTGCTCAGGGATCACTCCCGGCTCTGTGCTCAGGAATCACTCTGGCTCGGTGCTCAGGGATGACTCCTGCCTCTGTGCTCAGGGATGACTCCCAGCTCGGTGCTCAGGGCTGACTCCCGGCTCAGTGCTCAGGCATGACTCCCGGCTCTATGCTCAGGGATCACTCCCGGCTCTGTGCTCAGGGATGACTCCTGGCTCTGTGCTCAGGGATCACTCCCGGCTCTGTGCTCAGGGCTGACTCCCAACTCTGTGTTCTGGGCTGAGTCCCGGCTCTGTGCTCAGTGGTCACTCCTGGCTCTGTGCTCTGGGCTGACTCCCAACTCTGTGCTCAGGGCTGACTCCCGGCTCTGTGCTCAGGGCTCACTCTGGCTCGGTGCTCAGGGCTGACTCCTGGCTCTGTGCTCAGGGATCATGCCTGGCTCTGTGCTCAAGGCTCACTACCGGCTCTGTGCTCAGGGCTGATTCCCGCCTCTGTGCTCGGGGCTGACTCCCAGCTGTGCTCAGGGCCGACTCCCGGCTCTGTGCTCAGGGCTCACTCCTGGATTTGTGCTCAGGGTCATGCCTGGCTCTGTGCTCAGGAATTCCTTCTGGCGGTGCTCTGGGGACCACATGGGATGCCGGGGACTGAACTAAATTGACTACATGAGAAGCAAGCGCCCACCGCACTACCCCACTGTACTGTAGTTCTGTTCTGGTACCCAAATCTTTTTAAGTTGCACTTCTGTGTGTGTGTGTGTGTGTGTGTGTGTGTGTGTGTGTGTGAGATACCCACAGTACCCCAAGAGAGGAAGGAAGGCAGGCTTCTCGGAGGAGGAGACTGAGGAAACAGGCCCTGTTGGGTGAGTAGGAGTTTGCCTGCGGACAGTAATGGACTCGCACTTCCTCCCTGTCTCAGCTGCCGAGAGTCAGAGTCCGGACCAGCGTCCGTCAACCTTCTGGCTGCACTTGCCCCGCGGGCTGACCACCGCTGTCCACCGCTGGTCTCAACCTCCTGCTCCATAGGACCGGACAGTCCCGGGACCAGCAGGTGGACACCATTGACCCAGAGCTGACTCAAGGACCAGTTACGGCGTCCAGCCTTGGTTCTGGAGGGATGCCCAGGGCCAGCGCCCATGTCAGCTGCCTGAGGTGGCCCTACGTCCCCTGCCTCCGTGGACAGCTCAAGGCCCGACCCCCAGCACAGTGGCTCTCCCCTCCTGCACCCTCCGTTCAGGCTCTGTCTGACCCCTCACGGGTGCCACTGACACGGCTGCAACGGGGCTGGTGCTGGTCTGTGTGGGTGACGCAGAGACACCCCGGACTGGCAGCCACCTCTAAGTGCTCCCCTGGGGACAGAGCAATAGGGCAGCGGGGAGGACGCTGGTCTTGCATGCGGCCGACCCGGGTTTGATCCCCGGCATCCCACAGGGTCCCCCGAGCACCGCCAGGAGTGATCCCTGTGTGCAGAGCCGGGAGTCAGCCCTGATCATCGCCGGGTGTGGCCCCCTCCCACCCTAAAGTAAAAAAGACTCACAAGGGAATTTAACCAAATCCAAAAGACAAATTTAGGGGCCAGAGCGATAGTACAGCGGGTAGAGCCTTTGCCTTGTAAGTGGTTCGATCCCTGGCATCCCATGGGGTCCCCCGAGCACTGCCAGGAGTGAGCCCTGAGCACAGAGCCAGGAGTCAGCCCTGAGCATCACCGGCTGGGACCCCAAAAAGCCAAAGAATACATAATAAAAACAATAAAACCCATTTGGGGGGCCGGGGTGATAGCACAGCGGGGCGGGCGCTGGCCTTGCACGCGGCCAACTTGGGTTTGACCCTCGGCATCCCATCGGGACCCCCGAGCACTGCCAGGAGTGAGCCCTGAGCACAGAGCCGGGAGTCAGCCCTGAGCATTGCCGGGTGTGGCTTTGAAAGAAGCAAATCGGGACAGTTGTCGTGGGTGGTTCGTGTGGCGAGAGTGGCCGAGGGAGCTTGAGCCAGGCACAAAGGGGGCAAGGGGTGGTCAGGGGTCTGGGGTCTTGTGTGAGGGGGGGGTTAAGGGTCCTGGGAGCAGAAGCAGGATAGGGGTCCCCTACGTGCTGCCGGTCAGCCACCGCTGTCCCCCACTCACCCTGGTGCACCTCCAGGCTCTGGGGGTCACTGCGGTCCGAGCGCTCCGTCTTGCAGCTGTACTGGCCACTGTCCGCGACGCGGGCGGAGGCGATGGTCAGCGACGCCCCCTGCTGGCCGTCCAGGGCACTGTCGTTGCGCCACCAGCGTGTCCCGCTGTCCCCGGGCCCATGGGGGCTCTGACAGGTCAGGGTGACGCGGTCCTCCTCCAGGACTCGGTCCCAGGGCGGGTCCAGGATCACCACGGCCTTGGAAGGGTCTGGGGGGGAGCCCCGAGGACACGGGTGGGCTGAGTCCCCCTCCCACCGCCCCACCCGACACCCCCGGGGGGCTCCGTCCTTGAGGTCCCAGAAACAAACTCACCAGCGACTGTGTGGCAGGGAACTGTGCGGTGGGGGGAAGGGAAGAGGTGGTGAGTGAGCCGGGCACCCTCAGAGCTGTCTCAGCCCTTGCAGAGCATCCCCAGGGGGACGTCCTGCTCCAGGACCCCCATTTCTGAGCCCCTGCTCCACTGTCACCCCACCAGACCCCAAACCAACCAACTAAAGCCTTTGCTGGGTTCCTCACCCCCTCCCCGCCTTCCCGCCCCCGTCCCTGCCCCATGACCCTGTTAAGACACCAGAGGACCAGAGGAAAGCATAGCAAGAAGGAGGGCGTTGGCCTGGCATGCAGCCAACCCGGGTTCGATCCCCGGCATCCCATAGGGTCCCCCGAGCACTGGCCAGGAGTGATTCCTGAGTGCAGAGCCAGGAGTCAGCCCTGAGCATCGCCAGGTGGGACCCAAAAAGTTAAAAAAACAATAAAACAAAAAAACAAAAAAACTGAGGGGCTGGAGCGACAGCACAGCGGGGAGGGCGTTTGCCTTGCACCTGCCGACCCGGGTTCAATCCCCAGCATCCCATAGGGTCCCCTGAGCACCGCCAGGAATAATTCCTGAGTGTATGAGCCAAGAGTAACCCCTGTGCATCACCGGGTGTGATGCAAAAAAAAAAAAAAAAAAGAACCAAAAAAAACAAACCGAATTTCCCTAGTCATGCTTTGGAAATCGTTCACCGACTTGCTTATTTTGGGGCCATGCCTGGCAGTATCTAGGGGCTCGCTCTTCCAGGCTTGCTGTTCCGGGGGCCCCCATATTTCACATCTGTGCACCAGTGGAGTTAGCACAGCAGGGAGGGAACTTGCCTTGCAGGTGGCTGACCTGGGTTGGGTCCCCGACACCCCACAGGGTGCCCCGAGCCCACCAGGAGTGAGCCCTGAGCACAGAGCCAGGAGTCAGCCCTGAGCATTGCTGGGTGTGGCCCCCGAACCCAAACCAACCAAAAAAACCCAAAAAAAACCTGCACTGCGGCCTTTCCCTGGTCATTGGGAAACCTTTAGCGGGTCACCCTGAGCGTCAGGTGGAAGAGACAGCCGTCCACCCCGACTTTAATTTACAGACGAGAGAACTGAGCTGGGCCCCCGCCTCCCCACACACCCCATCACTGTCTGGCTCCAGGCTGGGGGGGGTCTGTCCTGGGATGCTGGGGGACCGAGGGGCCCGGCCCCCCCTGGTCTGAGCAGGGCTGCCCCTCCAGGATCTTACCTAGAAGAAGCAGGGCGACAGCACCCAACAGCCTCCACATTCTGCCCGAGGAGCCTGGACAGACAGACACACACACACCCACCACGGCGGCTTCCGGGCTCTGCGGGGCCCGACCACGGGGAGAGAGAGAGAGAGAGAGAGAGAGACTGAGAGAGAGCGAGAGGAAGTCGTTCATCCTCCCCCAAGCTACTCCTGACTCACCTCTCATTTCAGGAACATCATCTGATTTCTCAAAGTGAGAGCTCAGAAGAGCCCTAGGGGAAGTGGGGGACAGGCCAGGGGTGCCCCTCTTGGCCCCCTGGCATCCTTGCGGGGAAACTAATGACCCAGGAGGGAAGACGCATTGATCGGGGCAGATGGATGGGACCCGGCCCTGCCCCGTGGAACCTGGGCTCGTCACCACCGTCAGTACCAGGGTAGTCAGAACCGCCCCAAACAGCGCTGCAGAGACGCTACCCCCCATCCAATCTCTGCCATTGCCGAGGTGACCCCCCGAGCGCCCCAAGCACGCCACCCACCACCCCCTGCCCCTTGGCCAGCGAGGAGGAAGGAAGAAGAGTTTTGGTTTTGCTCTGACGGCAACAAGAGTTTCCTAATCCAGATGCTGCCGGGGTGGGGGCGGGGGGGGAGGGAAAGGCCCCTGGGGGTGGCTCTCTGCCACCGGAGGGTGGAGAACTCTGGGGGGTCCTGGTTTCTATCCCGTGGGTGATTGGGGGGCTTCCCAAGGGCTGCTGAGGAGGCCTGGGGGGCCCTGCCCGGCGATATATCCTTCCAGCTTTGCGTCTGTGCTGGGTCTAGGGGCATCAGGCTGCTCTAACCGGCCTCAGCAGGCTCTGGGGTCCACGGACCACCCCGCAGTGTTGGTGGGGGGCCCATGCAGTGCAGCGGGGGGTCACACAGGGTCAGGCATATGCAAGACAAAGTCCCCAGCCCTCTGCTCTCCAGGGGGCCGTTTCTGCATCTTGCATAAGCCTGGGGGTTCTGTCCGCCCCCCGTCCTTCTCACAAAGGTCTCTGGACAGCTTTGGGGCGTTACAGGTTCGACTGTGGGGCTCGGGGTGGGTTTGCCAGAGGCAGGGGAGGCCCCCCACAGGGACAGCCGAGTCCAGCTCGTCTCAAACAGCGAGTCCTGCCTGAGACGCCGTCTCCTACTCCAGACGCGGCCACGTCGTCGGGTTCTTCCTGCAACACCCCCCGTTTCTGAGAAACAGTCAGGATGGGGCCGGTCCCAGAAGCTTCCTGGCACAACAAACCAAGCTGAAACAGACAGATGGGCAGACAGCCGGACAGACGGACAGGCAGACGGACGGATGGAAGAGCCCAAAGGAACCTGAGGTCTGGAGAGGAAATGCGATGGGCCTTTCAGTTCTTGGTGCTTGTGGCGACACTGTCTTCTGTGGAACCATCCAGAACAGCCCTGGGGTCTGCCCTGGCCCCCGCTCTCACCCGCTCTCACGCAGACGCACCTGGGAGCAAGACCACCTTCCCGCCCTGACTTCCTTCCCCTGCTGCTCCTTCCCTCCCAGGGGTGGCCCCTAATTCTGTGTTGCTCCCTCCCCCGTATTGACATGCCCCACCTTGGAATACCCTGGGGGTCCACAGGGGGGACCTGGGTCACGCTTGCTGTAAGGTGGACAGTGCAGAGGAAGGGCCGCAGAGAGGGACCCTCTGTTGCCGATGTCCTGGCCACTCACAGAGTCCCTGTGTGCACGGGAAAGGTCACCCTGATCTCCATGGGCCAGCACAGACCTGGGTGACATCTGGACACCCCATTGAACCTAGGCATGCACCCTCCCTAATGGGGTGCCAGGGATCAAACCCATGTTGGCCACAGCCCCTCATAGAAACTCCCTCCACAATAGCACAGCGGGGAGGGCGTTTGCCTTGCACGCGGCTGACCCAGGTTCGATTCCCAGCATCCCATAGGGTCCCCCGAGCACCACCAGGAGTGATTCCTGAGTGCAGAGCCAGGAGGAACCCCTGAGCATCACCGGGTGTGACTCAAAAAACAAAAAAACAAAAAATAAATAATAATAATAATAAAAAGAGTGATGAACTGGGGTCCCGGGCAATAGCACAGCATGGAGGGCATTTGCCTTGCACACGGCAGACCCGGGTTCAGTCCCTGGCATCCCATAGGGTCCCCCGAGCACCACCAGGAGTGATTCCTGAGTGCAGAGCCAGGAGTCAGCCCTGAGCATCGCCGGCTGTGACCCAAAAAGCAAAAGCAAAAAAAAAAAAAATAAATAAAAAGAACCTCCCTCCAACAAAAGTGTCCAGCTGGGCCGTGTAAACCCTGCCCACACTGCCCTCTCGGGCTCTCTGGAGCTGTCCAGCCCTCCTGCCCCCTCCTCAGCCACCCGCACTGGCCTCCTGGACTTGGAGTTCTGCAGACTCCTTGCAAAGTGCTCAGTCCCCATTTGCCTTTTTGTGCCTAGCGTGGCCGCCGTCTCTATCAAGCTCAGGGACCATCCATCTATGGGGGTGGGCACAGGACAGGGTCCCTATCCTCCACTTCCCTGAGGGGAGGTCTGAAGGGGTCCCTGTGGTCCGCGCTTCTTTGGGGACATATGGGGACATATTGATGTTGGTGGACCCCATGGGTGGCTTATGTGAAGTGGGGAGGAGAAAGATGGTCACTTTCTCCCCATCTGCCTCTGCCACCCGGGACGGGGATTACAGGGTTCTTTTTTTTATTATTATTTTTTATAACTTTATTTATTGAATCACCGTGAGAGCAGTTACAAAGCTTTCGGGTCTAAGTCTCGGTCATACAATGAAACACCCGCCCCTTCACCAATGCCCATTTTCCACTCCAAACAATCCCAGTATCCCCCATCCCACACCCTCCCCCCACCTGTGGGGCAGATGATTTCCACATTAATCTCTCTCTACTTTGATCACATTCAATATTTCGACACCAGACCCACCATTATTATTTGAGAGTTTACCCCAACACTCAGGTCTGCTGAAAAGGCAACAGTAGACAATTTGGGTTCTCTTGCTGGTTATGAATAACATATGATGTCGCGTGGCTGCAGTAGTGGACCGCGATTTTGAAATTCCGAAATTTTAACACTTAAATCTAGAGGGATTTCTGCCCAAACCTGCTGGGTTCCGAGATTTGCTCCTGAGTCTCTGGGATCATGGCCGTTGAGCAGCTTGATCAGGAGCCAGAGAGGCCGTTCGTGGGTGATGACTTGGGCTCTTGTTGGGGTGGGGAGGACAGGACCGGCTCCCCCCTCCATCCCGTGAGGCCCAACAAGTTTCATCACTGCGGGCCCAAGCCTGACTGTTCAATGGCCTCTGGAGGATGACGGCCACCAAGCCGCCAGGGGGAAGCAGGCAGAGGGACAACACCCTTTCCCCCCTGGGTTGGTCCGGCGACAGTAACCTACTGTGGGGTCCGGACGCATTTCTGCCAAAAGCCGATGGGTTTCAAGATTTGTTTCTGAGTCTCTGGGATCATGGCCGTTAAGCAGTTCAATCAGGAACCAGAGAGGCCAGGCCTCCAATTATATAGCTGAGCCGGAGGTGGTTTGTGGGTGTGTCTCCCACATACCTAATTTTTGGCCGTTTACTTTCTCGGTAAACACTGCCCCAAGTTTTTGGGGTCTGGCCAATGGCACAGCAGCAATTTTGGGGTATCTGGAGGTCTGAAGACGCCATCAGGCTGCTGATGCACTCGCCTCACAGGTACAGACTGACCTGTTGGCGGGACCATACCCCCGGGGTTACAGGGTTCTTGTCTCGCCTCGCAGGAAGGAATTTCAGGAGCAGACAAGCAGTGAAATGACACAGTTTTTTTTTTTTATTTGGAGGTTTTGAAGGGAAAGAGGAAGAGAAAGTGGGAGAGAGTGGAGAGGAACACACTCAAGAGAGAACTCGAGCTTCTCCCAGGGCGAGGAGGGCCCCTACAGACACACCCCAGCATTAGGCGTGAGAGCATGAAAGTCCCCATCTCAAGAGGGGAGATGCGGGCGACACGTGTGCTTAGACACCGCCTGTGCTCGGCCACGTGGGCACAAGCAGCACATGGGCTCAGGCAGTGTGTGCGCTCCTTCCTGTGTCCAAGGTGGCCTTTATAGGAGATTCACTGCATTGCCTTGGGAAGAATCTTTCCAGGAGATTCACTGCATTGCCTTGGGAAGGGGCCTTCCCTATCTGCCTGCCTGCATCAGTCTGAAGGCATCCCTTGCCCCACCCCCTCTGGAGTGTTCTGTGTCCGATGCTCGTCCAAGGTGGCCTTTATAGGGTTTCTCTAACCTGGCCCCATGTGGGGTTTCTACCTAGGTCAGAGTCTGTTGCTAGGAAGGTCCCCAAGGGGGTTCAGAGTGGGGATGGTCTTCTTTGAAATTCCTTTCCTGTCTTTTGTTTCTGCGGGTGCTTCTGTGGGAGGGGGTTGGTCCGGCCTCCTCAGGGTCTGACACAGACCGGCACCAGTTCTCCGTGAGGTCAGGGCTTTTGCTTCCAAGAGCTTCACTGCATTACCTTCGGAAGGGGCCTTCCCTATCTGCCTGCCTGCATCAGTCTGAAGGCATCCCTTGCCCCACCCCCTCTGGACCCCCTCTGGAGTGTTCTGTGTCCGATGCTCCTGGACAGTGCCACAGTGGACGCCTCCGTGCGAAACCCTTCCACTTCCACCGGGCACGAGAGTAGACGTAGACTCAGCTAACTGTCCCTGGGACTGGAATTGTTTTTGGGGAACTTCCAGGCTGCTCTCCAGGGCCTCACTCACGCTTTCACAGACTCACTGGGGAAGAAGATTGGCCCCTCCCTGCCAGCCCAGTTCCTTTCTGTCCTGGAGCCATGGGTGACCACGCCACCCTGGGGTTCCACCCAGGCACCCTATGGCCATGCCAGGACCATCTATTGGAGTCCTTCACCTGCTTCGAAGCGTGTCCCCGAATTTCGGGTCATGCCATGTGGCTACTTTAGTTTTCTACCTCTTTTTTTTTTCCTTTCTTTTTGGGTCCCACCCGGCGATGCACAGGGGTTACTCCTGGCTCTGCACTCAGGAATCACCCCTGGCGGTGCTGGGGGGACCCTATGGGATGCCGGGGATCGAACCCGGGT